CAACAGATATGACAGAAATACAGAGGATAATTAGAAATTATTTTGAAATCCTATTCTCCAATAAAATAGAAGACATTGAAGTTATCAACAAATTTCTTAAGTCATACTATCTGCCAAGATTGAATCAGGAAGACATACACAATTGAAATAGAGCAATATCAAGTGGTAAAATAGAAAACAATGCTTATCAACCAAGAAAAACCCAGGATACACAGCCGACTTCTAAAAGACCTTTAAAGAAGAACTAGTACCAATACTCTTTAATTTATTTCAGGAAATAGAAAAAAAGGCAGGACTTCCAAACTCATTCTATGAGGCCAATATCACCCTGATCCCCAAACCAGGCAAAGTCACATCAAAGAAAGAAAACTTCTCTAATGGACATAGATGCAAAAATCCTCAATGAAATTCTGGCAAATCAAATACAAAAATATATCAAAAAGATTGTGCACCATAATCAAGTGTGATTCATCCCAGGAATTCAAGGTTGGTTCAATATACAGAAATCAATAAATGTAATTCATCAAATCAATAGATGAGGGCATGATGTAACATGTGGGGCATGTTGCATCAGAAAGGAAGAAACCTAACTTGATGTAGGGCATACAATATGTAGGGCATACAACATGTAGGGCATATTGCATCAGAAAAGAGGAAACCTAACTTGCTGGCTGCTACCCCCTTCCCAGTCGTGGTCCACATGTGGCTAAGATAGTGCCTGGCAATCATCCAGAAGGCATTACCGTGGGTTGTGATGAAAAATTGGACCACCTCTAGGATAGGCTCAGAAAACTTTTAACCTCATGGACAGCTTGTGTCACCCATTAATGCCTGTAGGATGGGTGTACATGTGAACTCTCCCCACCCTGCTGACCTTTATCCTGACTCATTCCTGTACATTATATTAGCTGTGTCCCTGACACGTCTGATTGTCCTCTGGCGAGGGAGTGCTGGGTGCAGGCGGTCAGTAGGCCCTGTCCTTTCTTGGCTCGTCCTGGTCGGGGTGTGCTCTCCCCATTTCTCCTGAGGTCAGGAGGGAATGATACTGAAAACCCCCGACAAATAGACTTAAAGATAAGAATCATATGACCATCTCAATAGATGCAGAAAAAGCATTTGACAAAATACAGTGCCACTTTATGTTCAAAACACTAGAAAAAAAAACTAGAAATAACAGGAACATATCTCAACTTTGTAAATGCTATCTGCACTAAGCCTCAGGCCAACATCATTCTAAATGAAGAAAAATTGAAGGCATTCCCGCTAAAAACTGGAACAAGACAGGAATACCCTTTCCCCACTTCTATTCAACATAGTTCTTGAAACAATGGCCAGAGCAATTAGATAAAAGAAATCAGAGGGATATGTGTAAGAAAAGAAGAACTTAAATTAGCTCTATTTGCTGATGATATGATTCCATTCCTAGAAGACTCAAAAAGCTTCACCAGAAAACTTCTAGAACTAGGAAATGAATTCAGCAAAGTAGCAGGATATAGAATCAACCCATAAATCAAAGGCATTTCTGTGTATCAGTGACAAATCCTCTAGAAAGGAAATGGAAACACTCAACCATTCACAAGAACCTCAAAAAAACAAAACAAAAAAACAACAACAAAAAAAAACCTTGGGAATGAACATAATGAAAGAGGTGAAAGATTTATACAATGAAAACTACAGAACCCTAAAGAGAGAAATCAAAGAAGACCTCAGAAGATGAAAACATCTACGTAGCTCTTGTATAGGCAGAAGTAATATTATCAAAATGACCATACTACCAAAAGCACTATATAGATATAATCTGTATTACAGATTTAATTCCCATTAAAATCCCCAAGGCATTGCTCATAGAAATAGAAAAAGCAATCATGATACTCATCTGAACAATAAGAGATGCAGAATAGCTAAAACAATCCTTAGCAGGAAGATTGAAGCAAGTGGAATTATTATACCAGATCTTAAACTATTACAGAGAAATAGTAACAAAAACAGCATGGTTTTGGCACCAAAACAGACTGGTAGACCAATGGTACAGAATAGAGGACACAGACACTAACCCAGAAAATTACAATTTTCTTATATTAGACAAAGGTGCCAAAAACATGCACTGGAGAAAAAACCATCTTCAACAAATTGTGCTGGGAAAACTGGAAATCCATAAGCAACAAAATAAAATGAAACCTCTAGGTCTCACCATGCACAAAACTCAAATCAAAATGAACCAAGGACCTAGGAATTAAACCAGAGACTCTGCATCTAATAGAAGAAAAAGTAGTCTGAAATATTCAACATGTGGGATTAGGCCCCAACCTCCTTAATAAGACTCCTATAGCACAAGAATTAAAACCAAGACTCAATAAATGGGATGGAATCAACCTAAAAAGTTTCTCTCCAAAAGAAACAATCTGTGAGGTGAACAGAGAGCCTACATCCTGAGACATATTTTTACCCCTCACACATCAGATAGAGCACTAATCTCTAAAGAACTCAAAAAGCTAAGCTACCAAAATAATATTAATAATAATAATAATAACAACAACAACTAAATCAATAAATGGGTCAAGAACTTGAACAGACACTTCTCAGAAGAAGATATACAATCAGTCAACAAATATATGAAAAAATGCTCATTATCTCTAGCAATTAGAGAAATGCAAATCAAAACTTCTCTAACCTATCATCTCACTCCAGTCAGAATGGCAGCTATTATGAAGACAAAGAACAATAAGTGTTAGCAAGGATGTGGAGAAAAAGATAACACTCATACATTGCTGGTGGGACTGCAAATTGGTGCAGCCAATTTGGAAAGCAGTGTGGAGATTCCTTGGAAATCTGGGAATGGAACAACCATTTAACCCAGCTATCCCTCTCCTTGGTCTATACCCAAAGGACTTAAAAACACCATACTACAGCCACATCAATGTTTATAGCATGACAATTCACAATAGCTAAACTGTGGAGCCAACCTAGATGCCCTTCAGTGGATGAATGGATTAAAAAAAGTGGCATATATACAAAATGAAATTTTAATCAGCAATAAAAAAGAAAATGAAATCATGGCATCTGCAGGAAAATAGATGGCATTGGAGAAGATAATGCTAAGTCAAGTTAGCCAATCCCCAAAAAACAAATGCTGAATGTTTTCTCTGATATAAGGAGGCTGACTCATAATAGGGAGCCTGGAATGATTAGATGAATTCTAGATAAGGCAGGGGGGACGGAGGGGAAAAGGAGAGGATAGGGGAATAGCAAGGATGGTGGAATATGATGGACATCATTTTACAAATTACATGTATAAGGACATGAATTGGGTGTCAAAATTATTGATATACACAGATATGAGTAATTGTGGTATATATGTGTAATAAGAATTGTAATGCATTCTGCTATTTCTTTATCCAAAATAAATAGATAAATAAATAAATAAAAGGGTTTTTCCAGATGTAAATCCTTTTATGTATTTAAAGAAAACTGTAAAAATTGACTACTGCCCAAGATTGCTTATCCGCAGGACTTTCTACAGTATTTTTTTTTTTAAATACAACTGAAAAAAGTAAAACATCTGAACCATTTGTATTTCTTACTTGCATAGGATTTATTCATTTTGGCATGAAACTTTCCAAAAGAATCTTCTAGTACTCAGAATAAACTGCAAAAATTAAAAGACTTCCCACATTTCTCATGTTCACAGGGCATCTCTCCATAAGTATTTTCATAAAAGGGAAGGAAACTAGGTTTGGAACATGAAGCTGCTAGAGTGTAGCAAATTGTCCCCATTCAGAGTGTTTGTTTTCCAGTGAGGGAAATGGCTTTGAAGACAACAGGGAAAATGGAATGATTTGCTATATTTTTTCACATTTAAACAGTTATTCAGCCAGATGTGGTGATGTATGCCTTTAATCCCAGAGACTTGGGAGACTTAGGCTAAAGGATCACAAGTTTGAGGCCAGCATCAGCATTTTTGAAAAACCCTAAGGAACTCAGCAAGTCTCTGTCTCAAAATTAAAAATATCAAAAAGAATGAGGATGTGTCTCAGTGGTAGAGGGCCACCAGACCAAATCTGCAGTGCAATCCCCAGTACAAAATTCAGCAGAATGAGCAGTGTGTTTGAAGGAGACAAGAAATATTGATCCACCACATTTCACATTTAAAGAATTTTTCTCCAGTAAACTTCCAACATGTTGATGAGAAGAACAGTAATAACA